ATTTTGATGACAAGTATTTTCGGACGAAGGGAGTACAAAGTTCATGTAAATCAAAGGAGGCCGAAAATCCTATCGAATAGAATTTCTATAAGAATTTACAAAATAGAGAGTTCTAAAGTGTAGCAGTTTCAGCAGTAGTACTATGTTTGAGTCTTCAAACCACAAATTATTGAATACTAGCATAAATCAAGGAACCTAATATGGTGTTCGATTGCCAGGGAGCTGCTCCCATCAAACGATTCGTTCGCCGAGGGAGCAGCTCCGCCGACCGTTTTTGCTCGTTCACCAGCAGGCAGGCCAGGGCCAGCCCCGGAGACCCAAAATGCCCACTTAAGTAAAATTGCCACGTTACAGCTTTAAAATTAAAAAAGGTTGATTGATCTAGAATTTTTTGACATGTTAAACTTAAAAACTGCCATCCTCTAGATAAAAAGAATGCCATGAACAAAGAAATACACAGAAAATTATGAAAATGCCATGATCCAAAAAATATATAATTCTTGTGCTCCTTTACAAAATTGACATCCTGTAGATATAATATTTATTTGGATAAGCCAAAAAACTTCCATGCAATTTAAAGCAAAAAAATGCCATAGTCTAAAATAAAAAATGCCATCATATTTATAATAAAAAATGCCATGTCAACACTAATAAAAATGCCATGCCCTCAATAATAAAACTAGCACCTGTTAATAATAAAATCATCATCATCCTAATAATAGAAATGCCATGTTATTAATAATAAAACTCCATGCTCTTAATTATTAAAATGCCATCCTATTGACAAATTAATAATGCCATCTTAACAATAATAAAAATGCAATGGTCTTAATAATAAAAATGACATTCTCTTAATAAAAATGGCATTTAATAATTATTAAAATGTCATGCTCTTAATAAATAAATTTCCAGGGCCATTAAAAAGACATTAAAAATGACATGCTACATATAATAAAAATGCACATGGCAATTTAGGGGGGAAATCCCCTCTGAAAATAGGGATTTTTGTTCTTTCAAACAATGGGAAATTTCAGAATTTTTTAGGATTTTTCTCAAATGAAAAACATATTTAAAAACAAGTTAACTCGAATACATAAATGTGTTTGAGTGCAAAGTGTTCACTAGGACCTCTGTAACCCAACTAGTGAGTGCATGGATAAACTGTAGCAGGGCGCGAGTTCACACTTTTTTAAAAGAAATAATAAAAAAGGACGCTCATCAGGAAACTACTTACGATGAACTCTTTCAAAGAGCTGACATCTCTTATGTCAATAAGACCAAATGGATGGATATTAAATGATAGGAAGTGCTAGGAAGTGAAATAGAATGAAATAGAGCAACTTTGGGCTTCCCTATGAAATGAGGCATGGAACGGAGCCACTACGAAGACTTGGCGTCGTATTTGCGTCAGTGTCTACCCGCAAAAAAAAAGTATTTGCGTCAATATCTGTGCAGCCAGATCAGATGGCAGGGGGTAAGGGAGGAGGTTCGCCAGCATCCGGCTCCCAACGAATGTTCGCCAAATAGCATCCGCAAAATCAATCATCGACATCGAGTCCGTTCCATATATTCCTCGATGGGCACTGTCACGTCCCCGTCATTTAACCAACACGGACAGCAGTTTCTCCGGCTCCTTGCCGGCAGGTGCAATGCCAGTGCAAGTGCAACAGCGCACGCACACACTCATCCATCAACGTCACGGCTCTGCGGTGACCCATATCCCGATTGCTATCGGCACATCTCCTTGCTCCGGCACTGCCGAGAGTCGCAAAAACAAGTCAAGCGGAAAGCAACCCAACAAGAGGCGGCGATAACGGAGCGAAATTCCCCGCCGGCCGCCGTGGAACCCAAGGACATGAATGAAGATCCCCGGCAGGAAGCTTCCAAAAAGACCCCTTTTTTACAAAGAGAAGTAAAAAGATTCTCAAAAGTGAAAAGGAACAAAGACAAAGCCGTGCATGGCTGCCACTGCCACCGTGCCGCTGCCGGTGGGAGGAACAGCCCGGCCCTCCCGCGCGCACGCGCCGCCAGCCAGGACCCAGCCAGGCTCCGTACGCACGCCATGGCCAGCCAGCCATCCCGATCGCCACGCAACATCCACGAAGCTCACCGCGCGCAGCCCAACGGCACCTGACCCAACGGGAGTAGTATATATGCCCACACGTACACCCGCGCCCTGACGCACAAACAACAACGACAGCTACTACTACTCTACCTGAAGAACTCGCTGACCGGCCGTGACATCCTGTGGTCGATCCTACTGGCGCGGATGGCGATGGGCAAGAAGCTGAGCAAGGTTGACGGCGCGGCGTGCCGGCGGCACTGGCGGCAGGGGGCGCCCGGGGTGTGCCCGCTCTGCCTGCGGGAGCGCCTGTCCCGCCTCTCGCCCTCGGCGACGCTGCCGTCCGTCGTCGCGCGCGGGGAGGCGGCTTCTCGCTCCTCCTGCTGCTCGGACTCGGACTCGGAGGCGTCGTCCACGGAGGCGTCCACCGGCGCGTCGTCGGGGTCCGCGAGCCCCGGGTTCCACCGGGAGATCAGGCGCGCCGCGAGGCCGTCGCTGCTGATGCGGCACGAGCGGGTGGTGGCCGTGGACGGCGACGAGGCGGTGCTGGTGATGAGAAGGAGGAGGGAGAAGCCGGCGACGAGCTTCTGGACGAAGCTGCTGCGCGCGGCGACCGGGGGCAAGAAGGCCGTCGACGGATGCTCGCTGGCGCATTCCAGGACGATCGACGCCGCCGACGGGAGCAGCGCAGCTGCCACGAAGTGGATCGTATTCTAGCTAGTTCTGCACTTTGTCTGCGACCATTTTTCCGGTTCAATCCGCTGTTCGGTGTGTCTTTCACACCGGACGTCAGAGCCGGAGAGATCCACAGTTAATTAGATCCATGCTCTGTACATATTTCAAGGAGACTTGTGTTAGTTCTTGCTTGGTACTACTATTTGCCAAAGTTTTGCAAGATCCGGCTATACGACTACACAAATTCCAGAGACGCCCGGTCCTTTGCTTGTGGCTTTTTTCTCGCTCTATCTTGTGGAAAGAAAGACTCCACCAGCACAGAAAAAAAAGGCTTGGTTTCTTTTATAGATTTGAAGAAGTTCATGATTTGGAAAAAATATTCATGAATTTGATGTGTTCACGATTTTTTTTAAGGTTGCGGAATCAAAAAAATGTCCACGCATTTGAAAAAATAAATCATGATTTAAAAGAAGTTCATGAATTTGAAAAATCTTTGTGGATTCAAAAATATTCTCAAAATGTAAAAAGTAATCATGAACTTTAAAAAATGCAGACACAGCTGGCTGCAACAGCGACTGCCCTATCATTTGCCAACATGTTAATCTTGACGTATATAGACGAACTGAGTGTTGCTCGGATGGTCAGGTTTTTTGTGGTGGAAGTGACGTACCAGGGTTCAAGTCGTAGACTTGGCACTAGTGCTCATATGTTTTTGGATTTATTTCATGTTTTCCGGTGATGTTTGTTTAGTGCGATGAGACGTTTTCATCGACCAAGAGGCGCATGTGGCAACTTCATGAATCTCCGAATGTTGTGCCGACTCAATATCTCAGAGATGCCCATGGACATAGGATATGCGTGTATGCATTTATAAAGATAAGTGTATGTGTGTATGTAAGTATATGCGTTTGTACTGCATATAAAAAAAAGAACCTTGACGTCTACAAAAAAGAACAAGATCAGGAAAAAAACCATTACTGATCGCTGACAATTCATGATCGCCCGATAGCACAGTATTTCCCAAAGGCACGAGGGCTCTATAAAACCATGTCAGCGCACGCACATCCACCGTTCCAATGATTCATTATTGATCGATAACAGGCAGTTTCACAAAGGAGGCTTTATAAAACGATTTTTTTGTTTAAAAGGACCTCCTACCGAATGCTATTGTCAAAAAAGACCACTTGCGGATAAAATTGTCAAAAAGAACCCCCTCACAAGTGACGGCAGGCGCGGCAGGCGACATATGGCACCTACCGCCACACCAGGAGGCGGCCGCGCGGGGCACAACGGTTTTCCGCACAGTGGCGTAGCTGGGACGAAACGGGCCATGAGTGGTGGGCCATGCCGCCATCGGGCGAGGCGGCGAGCGCTGCCACTGCCGCTCCCTGGCCGACAACCCCTGCTGCGCGCGCGCCGAGGCATGGGCCATGACGCCACCGCAGGTGGCGGCCCTGCTGTTCGTGCTGCACGCACGACAAGGACTTAGACGACGCTGATTCCCGTGCAACGCTGATTATCATGGGCGGGAATCTCTGGATTTTGACCCCTTGTGCCGACACTGGTTGCTTTTGCCATGCTGATGCCCTGCTGCTGCCCGGGAATCACTCCGGCTTTTGCTTCTTTTGCCTTAGTGGATGCGATGCCACTGCGGGAATTACTCACACGCTGCGGGAACCTGTAGGCGGCACCTCTGTTGCCGCTGCACGCGCAACAACGTCCCTGTTGCAGACTGCGGTGATTTATTCTCACACAACGATTCCCACGCATGCGGCCCGACAACCTGTGTTGTGGCAGACGGCAAGGATTCCCACGCGACGACGCTCATTTGCACGGGTGGGAATCCAATGCTGTGTGCTAGGTGCATTTTTGACACCTTGTGCCGACACTCTGCGGTGCTCCTCTACACTGTTTGAATGACGTGTATTTCTTGTCTAACATTTCGTCTGTTCGCGCCTGCTTTCTCGGCATCATTTGTCGTCCGAGCCTATAAAACAAGGCACTGAGGCTCTCGTCTTCCGTCGTCCAGCCACCCTCAAAATCGCCACTGCGCAAAGTGTGTTCGCCTTTTTTTTCAGTCGGTATGAGTTTGCCTTGCTCGGATCAAAGCATTAGGCCGAGGAAAATGAAGAATGCAAGTTTGCCTCCGGGAGTGGCAGTCATGCGGTGTTGATGTGGCGATCTTTGCAAGGTGAAGGAGGTGGCGGATTTTTCAGATTGGTTGGATATGAAGTTTTTCATGTGCGCCAATTATGAGGAAGATCCACCCATAGCTATTTCAGAGTACGACAAGCCTCCGGTATGCTTTAACCATCACGAATAGATATTGTTGGTATTTTGATTGATTCTTTATTAACATTCTTGTTTCTTGTTGTTGTCTCCTCCGCCTCTATGCATGTACTATCGTTGGATTGACACGGAAATGACGGCTTGGGCAGTGACTGAGATTCGTGAAAGAAGTCGCCAAGCATGGAATAGTTTCTATGTGGAAGAGCGACGCGAGAAGGCGGAAGCTAAGGAGAAAGCAGAGCAAGAGAGAGAGTTAAAAGAATACTATGCGGAGCAACACCGTTTTTTTCCAGGATTTAGAAAAGGAAAACAGGGAAGAGACTCGTCGCATGGAGGAGCAGGAACGACAACGAAAGGAGCCTCGTGAGGCGGAGAGACAGAGAAAGAAAGAAAGGGCTCGTGAGGCCAAGACAGCAAAAGAAACTGGCGATGGAAAAGGAAAATATCCACGCTGGACTCAGTAGATTCGTGTGGTAGTATTTTAAATTTCGCAATCATTTGTATCTTAATTTCTGCAGTTTAATGTCGCTTTATTTCAGTAGTTAAATGTAGCTTTATTTCAATAATACGATGTATCTTATTTTCAGTTGTACCATGTCATAATGAAAAAAAATAGTTTTAGAATAAATTAGTGGCATTTTTTTCCCTCCACTAATTATCGAACATCGCGTGCAATAACTACAAAATAAAATTAAGATAGAACATAATGGCGTACAATAAGAGAGTACAAACTAATAATGCAAGTACATCTAAATTAAACGGTAGAACTGGAATACAGCTTAAAAACTACATGAAGGCATCATCGTCATCCTCCGTCGATGCAGAACTCTTGCCCTTCGAGGATGCAGAACTCTTATCCTTGGACGATGCTGAACTCTTGCCCTTCGGGGATGCAGTACTCTTGCCCTTGGACGATGCAGAACTCTTGCCCTTTGACGATGCAGAACCCGGAAGCGGCAGCATGAAGATATCATCTTCGTCCTCGCTGTCGTCGGTCCATAAAAATAGATGCTTTGCTGCAGTCCTTCTGAAAGTTTCACTCTTCGGCTCCACTACCTTCTTCCACCTTGCATGCAACCTAAGAAGTTCTTTACGTACCTCCTCATACGTCCTTTCAGGCCACCTAGACCTATGTAATTCATGAAACAACTCATTCATTATGGTGTCACTACCGGTGAGTTCGTCCCATGGAACTACCCTATTGTCCATCCTGAAATCGGTAGCTAGCCTCAGAAGAGTCTTTCTCATCGCAGGATGAAAACTATGATCGAAAGGATAATGGGACATCTCGAGTACACTACACTGGAATGCTTATGCACCTCCGTCTGAAGGGGATTTTATAGGTAGAGAGGAGAAAATGGCGGGAAAGAACGACTGCGGTATGGCGGGAACATATGGCAGGAAATGGGTGGCAGGAAGATATGGCGGGAAGGGGTTGGCGGGAAATGGGCGGCGCGAACATATGGAGGGAAAGAGTTGGCGGGAAAATATTGAGGTGAAAGGGTTGCGCGAAAATATATATTTTCAATGTCTAAGATAGGCAATGGTTGCATAGTATTCATCAGCCAAAATAAAAAAAATCATTTCGGCCTAACATAAGCCGAAGAGTGAAGCGGGATAGTATGGCGGGAGATATAGGCGGGAAACATTGTTTTTGACTGCTGCATTCTTATTTCAGCATACATAGATGTTTAAATCGGAAAGTCTGATACTGCCATATGTAGATACAATGGGTTGCACACGTGGATAGATGAATCACCATAGTCGACGATGACCACCTGGCCTTTCCTTAGGACCGGAAAGCGACAAGTGATTAGGTGGTCGAGTTACAGGAAGACCGCGGCCGTACTCCACTTTGGCTTCATGTGCCTGCGACTCCTGCGTAGGTGGTGCAGTCTGGAATCCTTGTTGCGAACCTGAAGCGTAATTGTAGGCGTATGGTTGTGACTCCTCGGGGATAAAAGATGGGCCAATAACGTCCCCTCCGAAGAACTCTGTAACTAATGATGTAACCGTGTCGTCATGATCATGCGATGCTCCCCGGATGCCTGTGTTGAGTCCACGTTGGGTGTCCTCATTGTCCCAATTAACATCAAGTATGTCCTGCACATAGAAACATTGTAAACAAATTGTGCACCTGGTGGCCATAGTTGCACTGTTGCCCTCGCTACAGTCATATGGGTGTACGAGATTTAGTATACGAGGTCGTCCTACAGGGAGGTATTCCTAGGACCACAACTGTAGAAACTCGTAGGCAACACAAAGTAACGGAGCTTTTTGTGCGAAAGAAGTTTTTTGTGTAGCATCACACAAGCCTCTATATGTATGACATAGCATGGCAGAACCAAAGTTGTATTTTGGCTACTTGGGTAAAGATTCATCTACCATATTCTCTGCAATGTAGATGGGACCAGGGAGAACTACGTCCCCATGTGAATTTGGAAGCAGAGTCCCAAGGAGCCACAACAAATACGCAAACAGATGTCTTTTTCTCGTCTCAGGATCGGCGTAGCTAAATAAAATATGAAAGTTATCACGAAGCCAGGCGAGTGGGATGCCCCAAGGGCCACCAGAACGTTGTGATTCTATCATTGCCATTCCAAGATGGTTCGCAATATCTAATATCCAAGATGGAGATACTCGTGGAGAGACTAACGGCTCACCTCTAATTTGTAGAGCAATGATCATAGAAACATCTTTTAGTGTAGGTGTAAGCTCCCAAAAACGAAAGTGAAAGGTGTGGGTTTCAGGTC